TTTACATTGTGACAATCCCCTTTTGACAGTTGAACACATCAATTGAAGAGTACAATCTGTTATAAAGAGTGGCATAACTTCTTTAAAAATTGACTCTGAAATTTTGAACATATATTCAGAAATATTTAAGCTTTTAGAAAATGTAATAATAAAAAAATCAATATTTTGGTTGAAAATTAGATACTGTGCTGCCTTATATTTCTTTATAAAAAATTTTATATTTTCAGAACATTAAATACTAGAATTAATGAAGAAAAATAATTTTTTTGTTAAAAAAACACTCTTTCACTTAATTTTTCCTTTTATCAATAATTGAATTAGCAAATATACATAGAAAAAGTAATGAATAAAATTTGAATTTAATTTTGATTAAACATTTATAAAGATTTTTAATCATAAATTAAAGCTCTTGTAGTGTATTTGAATAAAAATCAAAAAAATCTGATTTAAATAAAAAAAATCCGATTTATATCAAAATAATCCGATTTTTTTCATTTTTTTTTTTAAAATCAAAAAAATTACGAATCCTGCATGTAGGTCACACATATAAAATAGAATACAGATTTCTATGCTTGAAATATAGTAAAAACAGGCCTGTGTTCCATCCATATCCAGTATTACTCTTTGCATTTTAGATTCATCAGTAGTAAAAAATTGGCATTAAACATTCATAACCAAACTTAGCCTTGGTTACAGGTCCCCGAGGGTTACAGTTAAAATGTCTGGCCCTCTATTATCCACTCATGGTGGGGGTATCACTTCGACCAAGAAGCTCTTTGTGGCCTGCTTCAGCCTAAGTTTTAAATATTATGACAATAACATAGAGTGTTAAAATTAATAATAAATTAACATGTATTTTTTTAAAANTCTAAATTCTTTACAATGTAAGTTTTCATTATATGTTTTTGTTGTACATTAAATTTTTCCTTAACTTAAACTTTTTATTCTTCATTTATTTTTGTAATTAATTTTTAATAACGCAATTTAAATATATAGCATGTTATTCTTAGCTTTAAAGCACACACGTGCTATAAATACAAAAATTAAATTATCGTCAAAATGAAACATCATTGAAAAAAAGTGACTATATTCAACAACTCATATTTTAAATACAATATATAATACAGTCAATACAATAAATTTTAAAAATATAATCATTAAATTTAGAAAACTATAATACTTAAATAGTGGTTGTAGTATTGAAGCACTGATGAGCACAACAATATTCTCTGAAATAAATTTTAAAAAATTAAAACAATAAACTTTTATATTTTACTAAAAGTATAAATAAATAAATGTAATAAAATTAAATAAATTAAAAATTTTTGGAAATAAATAAATGTATTTATTTATTTTTTAAAATTTTATTTTACAACCTTAGATTTGTGTTATATTTTTTTAGCTATGAAAGAATTGGACATCAACAACGAAGAAAATGAAATAGAAAGTGATCTTAACAGCATTGAAAGTGATGATAGAGAAATAATTCAAAGATTACAGGAAAAAAGAAGAAAAAAACGTAAGTTAGTTTTTTTTTTGGTAAAGGGTAAAACTTTAGCAGATGACTTCAGTAGTTTTAAAAAAATATTAAATTAAATAATATACTTACAGAAGTACACTTTACGAAAAATTGAGTGAAAATATTACACTAAATTAACATTTTACTAGAAAAGACTTGATTCTGTAAAGTAAACCTAAATATTTGATTGAAATTTGAAACAATAATGCTAAATGAATGTTTTATAGATTATATTCATTATTTTAGGTCTACTATGTAGATATATACATAAACAAATTCTGTACCAAAATTTATAATTCTACATACAGTAGATTTTGAGAAAAGTGTACCCAAAGAGTCAAAATATGCATTTTGAGAAAATAGTAAAAAAAATGAAAAATATTATATTTTATATTAAAAAACATTATACTATTTCACATTAAAAAATTATTTCAATGACTTATAGGCAGATTTATAAATATTATATATCAACTTTTATTTCAATGACTTATAGACAGATTTATAAATATTTTATATTAAAACTTTTATTTCAATGATTTATAGACAGATTTATAATCTTTTTATGTTAGCCAGGAACTTACATAAGTAAATGAAATAAATTTTTTCATTAAATTTTAGTTTTTAATAGAGCTGGAACCTTGTAACATTCAATTTTATTTCTCGTAANCGTCGTTAGAAAAACAGTCACCTTTATAGTAACTAATTTTAAAAAAAATTTACTTCTTACAAGAATAGCGATAGTTGATATTAAAACTGCGTGAATATGAATAACAATTATGGATTTGAAATCACTTGAATATGAAACTAGATATACTATTTTGAAAATGAGAAAATACAAACTGGGATATAGAATTTTTAAAACACGTAAATACAAATCACGATTCATAATTTGAATCATGATGTATAATTTTTAGATTGCATAAATAAGAATTATGATGCATAATTTTTAGAATGTGTGAATGTGAATTCCAATACCTTATTTTAAATTACATATAAATACGAAAATCAATGTTTGATATTATAAACCGCATGAGCAAATCAAGACATTGAATTTTAAACTTGCGTGAATACCAATTGCTACATAGGTTTTTAAAAAGGCTTAAATATGAATCACAATATTAGGATTTTAAATTTCGCAAATAAGAATCACAACATACAATATTAAAATCGCGTGAATGAGAATCACAACATGCAAATATGAAAAGCTATGTTTGATATTAAAATCGTGTGAATAAGAATCGAGATATTAGCAGATTCCAGTCTTGGAACCTCTAAAAGGCTTGTCAGAAGCAGCATTGTTTGAATTAAGAAAATCGGATCTATCTGGAGGGTGGGTAAAAAATTTGGAAAATCTTATCTGCTGCACGTAAAAGGGAAGAAAATAGCTAAAATAAGTAAAATGAGAAAGGATTGGTAGCTATGTGGTTTGAATTTTCTGTTTCTCTTTGAAAATTGGTAAATTTTCTAAAAAAGTGAAATAATTATAAAAAAGTTAAATTTTTAGAAAATCTGAATTTTTGATAAAAAGCTGAAATTTAAGAGATAAATTTGAAAAAAGCGGAAAATCTCATCCCTGAATTACTATAAAAATTTTATATATATTAAAAAAGTTCATTTTATTTATACTAAAAGTTAAACTTATACAATGTCTACAATTCAAAAATAAAAGTTTATATTCTTTTATCGAATTTATCAAAATTTCAATACATGTTAAAGTAAAACTTTATTATTTATTTTAGAAATACAACGAAAATATCAAAAAATTCGAAGGCAACCTACAGATGAAACTGGACCACAAGAAGATCAACCTACAGATGAAACTGGACCCAAGGCTGGGCCCAGCAAAAAAAATTGTGAAACTGGACCCAAGGCTGGACCTAGCAAAAAAACTTGTGGACCCAAGGCTGGACCCAGCAAAAAAACTTGTGGACCCAAGGCTGGACCCAGCAAAAAAACTTGTGGAACTGGACCCAAAAGACCTGGACCATTAAAATCTAAAAGCTCGGCAAGCTCAAGAGGACCAAACTCGAGCAGCGATTCGTCGGAGGGAGAAATAACATCTCGATGTCGGGCAGAAACATCTAGGCCTACAGAGAGGAGTCGCGCTCCGCAGGAGGATCCCGCCCCTGTACCACAAATGGGCGGGATGAATTGCCCGTGCCTGCCTTCGCAGGAAGTAATGTTACGCGCAGCCTTTCGTAAGTTTAACAAAATATCTTAACAATTGGAAAAATTTAAATCAAAGTTGATCTGCCTGAAGGCAATTAATTGAGAAAACCATAGTCTGCACTATACAGTAATGCTGATGAAGAAGAAAAAATCACTATTTTCAAGACATTCTAAATTTAAATTGAATTTAATAATTAAAAAAAATTTAGTACATAAGAAAATTATCTATTAAAAAACTGGAATTTTTCTGGGATGCATAAAAAATCCAAAACAAATAAACAATTTAATATTTTTAATGAATAATTTAATAGTTTTGATAAATAATTTAATAGTTTTTTAATTGCCTGTATAAAATCAATATTAACTAATATAGATTTTACTTGTATTGACAGTAAACCTTAAAAGATGTTTAAAAGTATGTCAAATTTATGAAAATGTTTATATAATTTCCAAAATAAAATGTCAACTATTTTTAATACTCCTTGCTCTCAAATACTATAAACACAATTATCTATTTAAATTGTCTAAATATTAAATAGGATTCGTGTTATTGTTGTAGTTTTATGTAATTTTTTTATTCAAAAAATTTCTATAATTAATTAAACAAAAAATTGTTCTGAATATCTATTTTTTCTCTAAATAATTTTCTTCAAATTATTAATTAATTTAAAAATAAAATATATAACATTTCGTTTACAAGTTTTTTAAGTTTAATATAAATAATTTTTACAGCATAATTCAAAAAGTTTTTAGTTAATATTTCAAATGTTTAATAAATTACTAACTTAAGTAAAAATAATTTAAATTAAAGAAATCCCACCTTTCTTTAAACTTCCCTGCTGACTTTTCTAGTATTAAAACACGATTTACATGATAAATATATGTTTTGTAATTTTTTTAGATGACTACAACAGGCAACATCTATTGGCGATGTTGTCCTATTTTATGTCTATTATAAAAAGACACTTAACGGAGAATGAACGAGAAAGAAGAGGTGGAAGATGAATGGGGTAGAGATGTGATTGAGAGAGAAGGAGGAAAAGAAAGATGAATGTGATGAAGAAGTAAAACATAATGTAATATTGAAATAATAGTTAGTATATAGTGAATGATAGTAAATAAAAAAATTTTTTTTAAAAAAGTTTTTTGTTTATATTAGTAGACTATAAGATAAATTGCACTTTAATTAAGCAAATTTTACGTTTCTTTTTTGTAGGATATGAAACAAAATATGAAATTTTATATTTTCATTTAGGTTCAATTTTATACAATTTTGTTGACACACAAGAGATATTATTATGATACACACAACTCTTTGTTACTCTTCAAATGACGAAGTCGCTGATAAAATATTAGTTACTATACGTATATCTGATTGCACAAGACAGTATAAATAATATTAATAATAATAATCGTCCCTCTCAGTGTTCGTCTGCATAAGCTTTCAAAAAAGTCCGGTAGATAGCGCTTCAGACATGTAGAATTTTGTAGTATTTTTTTGGATAAAATCGTAGCATTTTTTATTTTCAGAGTCTGGTAACCCTGATGAGATTAACCAAAAGGCAAAAAAGCTGAATTTTTATAATGTTAAATTTTACGAAGCACAACCCTTTAATAATAAATAATGTGTAGACATACAATTTAGTACTAATCTATTATTGTATAAATGATTACACATTTAGTGAAAATAAAAAATTACCAATTGTAAAAAAATAAAGTTAAAAATTATATTTTTCCTCAGTTCGCATAAGAGACAATTATTATTTGAAAAATCTACCTAGTAAATTAAAACTGCAAAGAATATACATTAAAATTTCATTTCTTTTAATAAATACTGTTATGTGATTTATAGCAAATATATCAGTAATATTACATTTTAAATTATATTGGAAAAAAACTTTAACTATGAACAAAAATTACTAATTTTAGTTTGAAAAAATTACATGACAATCAACAACGGTTTAGATAATTGTTTTTTTTTTTATTTGATAAGAATTTAACATTGAAGAAATTTTAACAACTTTATATAAATTTAAAAAACACGAACGTGTTAATATAAATTCATTTCAAAATTATAATAAAATGTTTGCAAATTATCCATTGTAAAATAAGATTTTATCAGCAAAAATTAAAATAAAATTAATTATTAATCAATTACTTATAGTATAATTATATTCTTTAAAACTATCATGAAACTGTTATGTTTAGGGATTAATAAGTTAAAATAAAAATTAGCACATTTTAATTTAAGGTTTTATAAATAAACATTAAATATAAGTAATTTTTTAAACATTATTATAAGAAAGAAAAAAAAGAGCCTAAATTTCTGTGTTATTCAATTGTTAACTGTGTTTCATTTATTTGAGGAGGGAGGGTTGCGTCTTCGTTGCATCAGGTGCGCAAACGCTTCACCTTGAGCGAGGGTGAGGGGTCTACTGGGGAGGAAAGAGAAAAATATTCTTTCATTCTGTACACAAACAATGTTGCTACGGTAACCAGACTCACTTTTTGCTTCAAGGCAACTGAGTAACAAACGCATGTACAGGTAGATCGAAGTCATCCGAACTGGTTCTTACAAGGAAAAAACTTTACATTTACTTGAAAGAAAGGTCTTTTTTTCCCGTCTGGATATTCTCTTTTAAATCGAAAACATTTTATCCCACCATTTTAACTATGATAGTTTTATAAATCATTTATTTTGGTATCATTTCACACTCATCAAATAATAAACAATATGTTTTTAAATATTAAAATAAAAACATCAGAAACAGAAGATGTTTAAAAACTAGAGGAGTATTTATTATATATCAAAATTAGTGTTAAAAAAGAACTGTTTAAAATTAGAATTGTGTATTCGAACTATTAAAATGTGTTGAAAAGATAGCCCTTTTTTTTCAGAAGACTAGATTTTTTTCATTTCCATTTTTTTTATTAAGGTGCATATTATTTAATAAAAAATTACTAGCTGTTCTTTATCATTTGTACGAAGTATTAGTATGTTAAAAAAAGTCTATCGAATACATTTGATTTTTTAATATTTAGTATTAAGTTATGTTAGAATCTCATTTGGGAACGTTTGTTTTTTGTACGACTTGTTTTTTTCCGTTTTTCATATGAAAAAATACGATTGCACACCAGTCGTATTTCTTTTTTAAAGCTGCAATTATTTTAAAAAATTGACATTCAAATCTGAAGATGTTTTAAACAAAAACTAAATCATAAGCATTTAAATCCATAAAAAACTGAAAAGGCTAATTTTATTTTATAAAAGAATTCATGGACAACTGTTGAACCCTCTCAATTTATGATAGCATTTATCTTAAAATGAAACTCTTAAAATCAACTGCTATTTCAAAATATATAATGCACGAGCCGCATTTATTTCAAAATCAACTTTTGAAATTGACATTTAAGAAGTATATGATGCACAGGCGGCATTTATTTTAAAATGAAACTCTTAAAATCAACTGTTATTTCAAAATATATGATGCACGAGCCGCATTTATTTCAAAATCAACTTTTCAAATTGACGTTTTTTAAATAAAAATATATGTGATGCACAGGCTGCATTTATTTCAAAAAATCAACTTTTTTATAATGTATTTTGTAAACATAGTGGTAAAAGAATGTTTAATTTTTCAAAATTCAATCTAATTTTTTCATCCACAAAGTTTCACGATTAAATCTAATGTTGTTTTTTTGACGAAACTTTTATATTTTTGTTCATTCAGTTTAAAAATACCAAAATATAAAAAGCGTGTCCGACCACTTGAGCAGAGATTCGTTTTCATCATTGGGTTTGCAACGCAGTAACAGAATAAATAGAAACCATATCACATGTTCTAGTGTTGCATCCCGTTGAGGAAAGTCTTCCGAATGACACAAGTCTGGTGACTTTAACTCAAATGGGTATTGAATAGCAACATTTAATCATAAGTTCATGTGAGCTGTTACAGAAAGACAAAATCATTGCATTTTTTTATCCGTCAAAAATCTAAATCATAAACAAGTGAAAAACTTTACAGTTTGAAAATATTGCAAAGTTCAAAATGTTTCAACAGTTTGAAAAGATTACTACGTCTAAAAATTTAAGTTCAAACAATATCCAAACAATTTAAATTGCGAAGAAAAATATTTTCAACTTTAAAAAAAACAAAGTTTCGAATAGAAGGTTAAACGGAACGTTTCTCTTGAAAAATTCGTCGAAGTTAAAAAAAACGAAAGTTAAGAATTTACAGAAATCTGAATTTAACAATATTTCAAAGTGTAGTTGTTTTAAAGTTCAAAACAGTTTGAATAGAATTTTTCGAGTAAAGAGTCACAAAAATATTTTTCAAATAATTATTGCAAAGTTCAAAACCACATGAAAATATTTCCAAGTTTATAAGTATCAAAATTGTTCAAAGTTGAAACAATTTAAAAAAGATTATCAACTGAAAATTCTTACTCGAAAAATTCTCAAATTTTCTCAAAGTCATGAAAATGAGGATTAAAAATTTACAGACTGCGAGATAAATTATTACTCGAAACATTTTATAAATTCTTCAAAGTCAAGAAGCTACAGATTAACAAAGTCCAAACATTTTGTAAATATTGCTAAAAAATGTTTTCTCGAAAAATTCTCAATTTTCTTCAAAGTCTTGAAAACGATCGTTTACAAAAATCTGAATTACTGAACAGCAAATAAGAAATAGTTAAATCTCAAACAGTTTGAAAATATTATCAAGTTCAAAACAACATGAAAATATTTCAAAGTGCAAAAATTATCAAAATGATTTCAGTGTTGAAACAGTTTGAAATATTACCATATCTAAAATACGAATCCAAATAGTTTGAAAATAATGTTTTTTTAAAAAAAATTCAAAGTAAAAAAGATTTTTAAAACATTTCAAGTTTGAAAATATTTTCAAACTCCAAGCAGTTTGAAAATATCGCTAAAATTCTTAAAGTCTGTAAAATTCTTCTAAGTCATGAAAACGAGAGTTAACAATTTACAAAATCTAAATCACAAAACGAAATATTTCAAGTTTATAAAAATAGGGTTAAGAGAATACGCGAAAGAAAACGAGACTTAACGATTTACAAAACTGAATCACGGAACAAACGAAGAGAAATATTTTCAAAGTCCGTTATTTTTTTCGGACTTTGAAGAATACGCGGAGAATTTTTTTTTCGAGTAAGAAACAAACTCTCCTCGTAAAAAAAGTTCAAACTATTTTAATTTTTTGTTTCACAATACAATGTAATATTGCTAAAATACAAAACAAACGAAGAGAAATAGAATTTCTCTCGAAAAAACTAGAGTTTAGCATTTCTCTCGAAAAATTCGATGAAATTCTTCAAAGTCAAAAAAACAAAGCTTAAGAATTTACAAAACCCTGAATCGCGAAGCAAGCGAAGAGAAATGTTTCTAAATTATAGAAATATTTAAGAGTAGGGTTAATAGAATACGCGGAGGTTTAACGATTTACAAAACTGAATCCGAAACAAACGAGGAGAAATATTTTCAAAGTCTGTCATTTTTTTCGGACTTCAAAAAAATTCAACGCGTATTCTTCAAACTCTCCTCGTAAGAAATGTTCAAACTGTTTTAAATTTTTGTTCACAATACAACGTTATAAATACTAAGAAATTTTCTCTAACATTTAGGGTATTACTTTTTTAATGTAATGTTTAAAATTTCATTTTCGAGTTTTAATAGAAAATGAATTAGTGTAAAAAAAACTGAGAATGTAATTTTCTCTAGTTCTGTAAAATGACTCGTTTGTTAAACACATATTATATCTATAATAAAATTAAATTTTTTGTGTTATGATAGTAAAATAAATAATAATTATTTGTACACTATTAAATATCAAATACTTTAACGCTAAATCTTAATAACTCGATAAAGTATATTAGCACTAAATCTTAATAATTTGATAAAGTATATTGGCACTAAATCTTAATAACTTGATAAAGTATATTGGCACTAAATCTTAATAAATTGATAAAGTATATTGGCACTAAATCTTAATACACAAAGGTGAGCAATTTTCGATTAAACTAAATATTAGTATTATTTCTAAATAGATACATTACAAGCATTTGCCTCGAGATTGATACAATACTAAAGTATATATTTGAAATCAACTATACGTA